AGTTTCCATAGGGTTTAAAAGCGTAGGGCACCCATTATGACTTTCGCACATTCGCGCACACAAATGTCACAATTTGCATATTCGCGCACACAAATATCATAATTCACTTCACTTACACTTGTAAAAGCTTCACAATTAATCGAAATGTAAGTCAATTTTTTAAATGATTGATCAGAAATCAAAATTTGAGGAAAAAATAAATTTGACACATTTTTTACTCGATTGGCGATGAACTTATCCAAATAATACTGAATGACGAAACGGACTGCTCCGACGAGTCTAAAGCTTTGATTTTACTTATAAAAGACATCCATTTTACTATGATTTAATGCATAAGCAAAAAGTGTAGCGTAGGGCACCCATTATGACTTTCGCACATTCGCGCACACAAATGTCACAATTTGCATATTCGCGGACACAAATATCATAATTCACTTCACTTACACTTGTAAAAGCTTCACAATTAATCGAAATGTAAGTCAATTTTTTAAATGATTGATCAGAAATCAAAATTTGAGGAAAAAATAAATTTGACACATTTTTTACTCGATTGGCGATGAACTTATCCAAACAATACCGAATGACGAAACGGACTGCCCCGGCGAGTCTAAAGCGTTGATTTTACTTATAAAAGACATCTATTTTACTATTTAATGCATAAGCAAAAAGTGCGTGAATCGGAAGATTTTAGTATTAAATATTATAAAATTAATAATAAAAAAGAGCATTTTTATTTCTTTCTAAATCCCTAACCTAACTCACAAACTAGAGCGAGGGGACGTGCAGCCAAAATCAATTCTAGGTGCCTAAACTGATTCTCTCTTGGTGTTTACTGCTTTTGAGTTTCTATTACTCTGCTTGTTCTTTTGTTTTTTAATATGTTAAGCAATGTATCGGTGGTTTTCTTTCTCCTTGAGCTGTGATTTTATCCCCTTTTTTTTTAACTTCAGCTTTATTGCTTTATTGGTTACTCACTGTTATTATGTTTTTCACTATTATCATTATGTTTGATTATAGATTATGTCTAACGTTTAAAAAAAAAAAAAAGAGTTGGATGGTGGAATTTCATATTTGTACCCTTAGAAGAATGTTTCAAAGTTCTTATAACGACTTACTTGTTTTCTACTTTGTTGTTTTTTAATTAAAACATGTTGGATATGCTTGAAATTTTGGTGGAGTATGCTTAGAGCTATCGTTTTTTAGAAGAAAAGTCTTTCTTTTAGCTCGTTGTTTGGAATTATTTGGCATTGAGACTGGTTCTTTCTGCTTCTAGTCATGTAAAACTTGAGGTCTATGTGTTAAACCATATGATTAAAAGATATGTGTGGCTTCGAAAGATGTCTCTTTTGCTTACTTGTTGATTTGTGATGAGAAAGGTTGAGTAAGCTTGGGTTAAACTCGACTTTACTTATTTGTTATATTATTCGAAATTTCTAGTTTTCTAAAAATACTGGTTTTCTTGTGTCTAATTGGATAAGTTGCAGGTTTCAATAACTTTATTATAAGATTTTGTGGCATTCAATCTTCATAGGTAATGCAGTTCGTATCTATGAAAGCTGACTTTTTAAACCTTAATGCTTTAAAGTATTATTATCCTAAAAAAGAATGAAAATCAAAGTGATCTTTATACTTAAAAAATTTGGAATGTTCTGTTAGTTTCATTGTGAAGAAGCTGACATTATGCAACTCGGTTTTATGTGATTGGAAATTTGATTAATTTGGTTTTATGATAATCTATATTTTTTTGAGAACCTAAAAGTTAGTGCCTTATTTATGAAAATCTGAGAGTTTTTATATGTTATCTGAGAAAAACGGAAAGCTTTGGTGCTTTGCTTTTGAAAAACCCGAAAGCTTTTGTGTTATTTGCAAGAAAATCTGAAAGTTTTTGGTGTTTTACTTGCAAAAATCTGAAAGTTTTGGGCGTTTTATTCGCAAAAATCTGAAAGTTTTAGTTATGTTATTCGCAAAAATCTGAAAATTTTGAGTGGCCTAATTGTAAAAATCTGAAAGCTTTTGGTGGTCTATTTGCAAAAGTCTTATATGCATATATATATATCTGTGTGTGTGTGTGATTTATAAAATAATTTTCTTGAAGGGGGTTTGCTGCATTTTTTGGGCCCTTCGGTGGCTTGTTTTGTTGAAATTTTTTACACTGGTTTGTACACTGTTTGGGCTGTGATTTTTTGGGTTCATTGGATGGTTTTGTTGGATACAGTGTTGCAGTTTTTGGCACTGGTTTGTCCACTGTTTGGACTACAGTGTTGAGGGTTCATTGGATGGTTTTGTTGTATACATTACTGAAGTTTTTTGCACTGGTTTGCCAATTGTCTGGGCCGTGGTTTTAGGCAATTTTAATACTAGTTTGTAACTTATATGAATACAATTTTTCGAAGTTCTTTCATGCCCTTTTGGGTTACTATTTTGGGAGTTTTGGTGACCTGCTTTGTTGCGCTTATGGGTGTGTTTAGAGGTCTATTTGGCTGCAACTTTGGAAACATTTAGAGGCCTGTTTGGCGGCAACTTTTGAAATATTTTGAGGTCTGTTTGGCTGCAAATTTTGAACATTTTTAGGCATGTTTGGTTGGAACTTTTGGAACCTTTTGAGACTGTTTGACAATTATTTTAAATGCTAAATCGGAAGTTGTTATTATAGAGAATGAGAAGAAGAGAAATTACTCTTCAGATTTTACATGAGAATTATAGGTACTTTCTATTGACCTTGGGAATAGGCTTAGGTGTTGAATTTCTTATGTTGGAATATCAGAGGTTCCGAATGAACCCTTTTAAATTTATATTGTAAGATGTTGAAAACAGTTTTGATGCAATTTTGAAGGACAATCTACCATTTACTTCTTTGTTCTTTCAGATGAATTTATCTCTCCTCTCCCCACACCCCATTTTTCTTCTTTTCTTCCCTTGCTTCTTGGTTTGATTTACGTGTTTATGTCAGAAACATAAACGCACATATATAGTCGTGACTATATATGAACCATCAAGCAAAACTGTAAGTTGGACGGTTCGGGATTTAAGGGCGATGATGACTAGCATCTGCTCATAGAGCAGAATAATATCACATCCTATGACACCGGGACTCAATTCAGGGACCTGGAGCGAGTGTAGGATGTATATATTATTCATCGACACTAGACTAGCGAGCCCCCTTACCTTCTTAGGCTGTTAGCGGTCCTAGCCCGACAGTGTGATCGGCTTGTGAACGATCTATTCTACAAAATATACAGATATAACGACAACACAAATATTTTTCAAAAAAAAATATAAAAAAAAATATGTTTTCGATTGCTAAATAAAACAAAACTATTTTTTGTTACCCATATGCATGACAAACCACAAACTTTAAATGATACAATTTGATCATCCACTTGTCAATTACCTGCATTGGGCTAAGAATTGCACTCCTAAGATTGTCTTGTTGGAAATTTCTAGTTGAATGTAGGACTTTAAATATGTGGATGACCGATGGTTGCTTAAGGAGTCCTTCGGGAATAACTAAATCTGAGCTTACCCCAACCTGAATGCATATGGTTTTTTCCTCAATTTCTGGTGTGTTTCCTGCGATTTTTTTCGAGTGGGTCACTTGTGATTTTCTTCGAGGATTCCATGTGTTTTCAATGGTTTTCTTCAAGTTTTCGTAGGTCATTTGTGGCTTTCCTGGAGCTTTTTATGTGATGTTTTGTCATTTATTCTTTTATATATAAAAGCATGTTAACCCCGCCTATTAAATTCTCCACTATACTCGTTTACTTTTACATTTACAGGAGTAGAAGATTCGTCAGATACACAGGTTTGTTTTATATTTACAGCATTTTACCTTCTTTATTGTACATCCTATTGTTTTTCTTTACTTTACATTTTACTATTTTTTCTTTAATGTTGTTTTCCTTTACTGTCCTCTACTGTTGTTTTTCTTTATTTTTCTTTACATTGCTTTCATTTACTGCACTTTCTTATAACATAAATTGTTTATTCATATTTTAAATTAACTACAAGACCTTCAGAATATAGAACGATAGTCGGCTTACCAACAGCAAAACAAACCTACATCAACTAAACATTTCTGTAGAATAAATAACATAACTTATAAGACTTCGAGGTAGTTTGCTTAGCACAATTTAAATTCTCACATTGTCTTTTAGGTTTTTGCACAACCCTATTGTGCAATATAAATCGTAACACTTTAGGATTCCGAGGTTACTTATGGTATGACGTAAATTCCCTTATCTTCTTAGGTTATATGCACGATCGGGTATTATGCGAGTGTGAGCTCTGGATAATAAAATCGACAGGATTAAACATTAAATAAATTTATTTCAAATACATAAAGTCAAACAATAGGATAGATGGAAAGTCACCGAGATTCTCCTCGTATCTGTGATATCCCCTACCTTTCAATCACTTGGCCTCCTAAAAATAACTGTTTCTATTTTGAGTAATTCCCTTTTCACTTTCCTACGTCTTGTTTTGAAAACTAAATTTTGAAATCTTGAAGATAGAACTACTGATCTTAATCGAGAGTTTTCTTAAGTGAAGATGTAATTAACTATAGGGGTTTGTCGCTATAGGGAACTATGAACCCAGGTAAAATAAACTCTATCTATTTCTTATATTAGGTAGGGAAATTTGTCGGTCACACATTAAAAGGTTTCGCAGATCAAACAAATGTCACAAACTTTTTAGTTCAGGTCGTTAAGCCTAATAAAAGTGATATGTTTATCCTTCGGGATAATGTATTACTTCAGATATCACGCTCATCCATCTAAACTATCGAATATGTGGGATTGATTTGACCTCATTTATTTCAAAATTAAAATCACCTATATATATATTAAAACTATTTTCAAATTTAAAATATTTTCAAATTTCCGGCCGAAAATAAACAAAGTGGGCATGCATGCGCAAGCACATATAACATAAGAATGTAAAATCCTCCTAATGTTGCATAAAAACAAACATGAGACAAAAAACTTTAGGGTTCAGCATACTTCTTCTGTATTTCAGATGGACAAAAGTGAAGTCTATCATAATCCAAACCGCATTCACCAACTGCAACCACCTATATTGACAATACATTAGTACAAATGTTAGCTGCAAAACTTAGATTGTAAAGCATAATTCTCGATGAAAAGAAATGGTTAATTATTAACACTTGCAATTAAAGCAACAAATAATGGGTTAAAAAGTAGAACTTTTATTATAAAAAGAAATTATTTACTGGTCTTGAGATTATTTTGCCAATGAAGCAACAAATAATGGGTTAAGAACTAGAACTTTTATTACAAAAGGGAATCATTTACAGGTTTTGAGATTATTTTGCTAATGGCAATGTATTGGCCAACTAGCCAAACGTTTTTATGAGAATCAGTGAATTTATTTTTATTAAGTTCGACAAATCTCTTAAGTTACTGCATAATACTAGCATGATCTCTTCATGTTCAAAGTTGACCCGAGAATCTCAAATACTTTTGCATAGAATTTTCTGGAAACAAACGAAACTCTACATCATACGAATGTAATGGGTAGTGATAAGAAACCTATCTTAATCTGATAATGTCTGGCTAATATTTTTATTCTGTTAATATTGTACCAATGAAGGTGAGCTGACAGAATTATCTACCAAAAAAAAATCTAATGCAAGAGATATCAAAATACAAATTCATGAACTCTAACAAGTTTAATAGCGTTCAGGGTCCAAAAAGCTTTGGATGTTGAAATTCTCGAAGATCACATCCTTTAGTGTCACAGCAAGCACTGAACCTTTTTCAATGACTTCTCTTCCCTAAAGCTAGGTTGAATCGATGAATAACCAATTAATTTACTTTTTCTTGCAGATGTATCGCCTCACTTATGACATGAAATTAATTTCCCATAGAAGGGAAAAAATCATTACTATATTTGAAGTAAGAACTTTAGATTCAATGGCTGGTCTACTTGAAATAAATTGCAAGACTGGTAAACACAAATAAGCATCTTCTTTTACCAATTTTTAAAATGGTGTGGTTTAATAATGAGAGTGCATGTCTAGAAGAAACACTAACAAGTCACAAAATCCTTTTATTTATTAGTCTCATCTCATAAAGTCTATAGGTCCGTTCAATAAAACATATAACTTCTACTGTCTAGACGCTAGTTTACCAATATACCTGAATCGAACATAAAAATTTCATATCAATATATGCCCATGGAAAATTTTATTCACTTCTCAAATTTTCTTCCATTTTAATGCTAATGCACTTGTACAAGTAGCATTTTCAGCGAAATTACAAAAAATTCCATCGAATGGTGTTAATGTTAGTCTATCCAATGAATGCCATTAAAAAGACTGTTGAATCTATGATTCAAACTCTGTGGGCCTCGTTCGTCTTAATAGGAAATTATGAACATGTGGATTGAAGACCTCTGTTGATGGATTAATGTTATAATAGCATTTAAACTTCAATCCATGTGTTCAAGTTTTATTGGGTCAGCTTGAGTATTTTACTTATAAAGTGTCTTGCAGAAGTATATAAATACCTTATTTCGTTCTACCAAAAGTAACCCTTTTTTTATCTCAATCTTAAATGTACAGACAGTCTCCACTTCCAATTCTTTTTTTTTTTTTTTTGATATAGTGAATTCTTCTCAATTTCTTGTGGTTCTTCCCACAAATTTATCACGTAAAATAAGCGTTCATTTTTTTTTTGTTTCTTCTATTGTCCATCACATTGATCCGTGATAGGGTTGGTGTAGCTCCAGTGACATACAAAATTAGAGAGTTTTCTTAGATGATTTGGTCACATTAAACGTCTGTCATCTGAAGATCCGATTAGAAGAGTAGATGTTTTAGATTCGACTTATGTTAAGAAAAGCATAAGTAAACCTAGGATGACTTGGATTGTATAAAAATGATCTTAATTTCTTAGAATTAAATGAAAATATGACACTAAATAGGATGCAAAATGATTTTATAATAAGTGGTATTAGAGCAACATTTTTTATTTCAACTATGGCAACAGTGAAGTACGACATTGCATTGTTTGTCATAACACCAAATTTTCATATTTTGGCTTAGACTTAGAAGTTGTGTTATTAAGATTTAACAATATGCCCTTATGGTGGATGATGGATGAGAAGCAAGATAAAGATCTGAAAATTTTATCTCGTATTCATCTTTATTTGTCAAATCAGATTTTATAAGGTATTTAAAAAGAGAAGAAAATCAATGTGTTATAGCTGAAATTGCAACAAATGTGCATAAAAAAATTCTCAAAAGTTGCATCTGAACAAGCATCATGCCAACTAGACAGTTGAAGGCGTGCTCCTTATAGATCATTTGAATAACTTCAAAAGATTATCATTGATTTAGAGTTCATGGAGGTTAAGTATGATGAAGAAGATTTGGTGATAATCTTATTATGTTGGTTACCTTCATCATATATAATATTTAAAGATATCAACTCATATGATTGGGAGATATTTACTCTAAATGAAATTTATGATGCTTGATTCTTTAGAAAGATATATTAGTTTGTGGATGAAGGTGCTGCTCAAGGAGAATGCTTTATTATTTGTGGGAGGACTTGAGAAAAGAATTATGATGCTGATACAAAATACATATCAAAATCTAAAAATATGAATAAGCTTTACAATGACTGCAAAAAAAAAGGATAACTCCACGTTGAAAGTTACAAGCTGCAGAGAAAATGAGAAAGTTACTACTAATTAGAAGTGGGAGCAACTAAATCATTTAAGTGAAGTCACTATTGTTGATGAAGATGTTAATGATGATGAATTCTTAATTGTCTCTAATAGTGAATCCAGTGATGATTAGGTTTTTTATTTAATCTGCACATTTCATATGTCCAAATAATATAAAAAAGAAATAATGTCTAGGGAAAAGGTATTAATGGAAAATAACAATCCTTATGAGATAGCTGACATTGAAACTACCAAAAGCAAAATATTTGATAAAGTTATCAGGACTCTTGGAAATGTGAGATATGTCCCCGATCTAAAAAGAATTTAATTTTTAAGCACAATTCATGTAAGAGGGCACAAATACCAAGATGAAGATGGATTTTTGTAGGTCATTAAATAATCACTTCTCATAATGAAGGGATAGAAATGGACTATTGGATTATATTTCTTACAAGGCTCCACAATAACAGTTGATGTATTAGCTATTACTTATATGTCAGATGGTAAAGAAACAAGAATTTGGCACAACAATCTTGAGCACATGAGCGAGCAGGGCATGGCTCAACTGAGCAGAAGAGGATTCTTTAATAGTCAAAATATTACAAGTTTAAAGTTTTAAAGTGCGGTGTATTTGGAAAGTCGAAGAAACTTAAGTTCAGCATCAGCATTCATAGTACTGAGATACTGAAAGAATGTGGACAACATACATTTTGACCTTTAGAGACCATCTAAAGTATCGTCTAATATAAGTGTCGGATAGATGCTATTAATTATTTATGGTTTTTCATTAAATACTAGGATTTTTCTTCTGAAGCACAAGAGTGATACATTTATTACTTTTAGAAAGTGAATGATTATGATTATGATCAAGAAATAGACTGTGTGTCATATTAAACATTTTCATACTAATAATATATTGGAGAGTTTATTCAGGAGGATTTTTTTAAACCAAAAAAAAATTTAGACATCACAATTCGACATACTTCATAGCAAAATAGTGTGACAGAGTGAATAAATAAGACCATAATGAAGACGGTGCATTGCATACTCTCTAATAATAGACTATCTTTATCGTTCTAAGCCAAAGCTGCTTCTACAGCTTGCTACTTAGTGAATAGCTCTCATTCAATTGTTATTAGCAAGCAAACTACACAAGAGATTTGGTCAGATAAATCTGTTAATCACTTTAATTTAAAAATCTTTTGTTATCCTACATATATGCTCATATACATAATGATAAATTGGAACATAGATCTATAAAGTGTTATTTAGTTCTTATAAAATTGGAGTTATGGCCAATAAGTTTATGGTGTACAAAACAAAAAAAAGTGATTCTTAGTAAAAATGAGTGTTTGATTAATCTATCTTATTACGTGCAACACTCACTATTGATTCTAGTGATGTTAATTAGGAGAAAAATTTTAGCATACAAGTTGAGATTTAGATTGAGATAAGTAAATAATATGATATGACTTCCTAAGTTCAAATAATTTATATGATGTTGTTTTTCTGTCGCCACGAAAACCATCTAATAATGTTATCACTAAGAATAGAAAACAAAGATAAATTAAGCCTCCATGGAAGTATTATGAGACTAATTTAGTTGATTATGTCCTCAATGAAGAAAAATGACTCATGTAGCCGACCCCACTTAGTGGGATAAAAGCTTGTTGTTATTGTTTTTGTTGATGTTCGAAATATGGTTGAAGATATCGAGTAAGTGAGGAACTTTCTAGTTATACAGAAGCGGTTAATGCCATTAATTCTAGCATATGGATGATTGTTATATATGATGAGAAATAATCCCTACACCAGAACAATATTTAGGATTTAGTGAAGCTGCCCAAAGTGAGGAAAATTGTCCGTTGCAAATGCATGTCTTAGAAGAAAGAAGACTAAATTAGTTGAAAATGAGTGTTGAAGATGCTAGATAAAAGACTAGATTAGTTGTAAAATAGTTCAATCAAATTCGACGTTAAGAACATAAATGTATTCTCTATAGTAATTATATACAGCTTAATTCAAATCATCCTTTGTAGTGTAGTTATTCACGACTTTAAGCTTGAGCAATTAGATGTAAAGACTGTATTTTTGCATGACATGGTCGAAAAGAATATTTATATGCAGCAAACTGAGGGCTTCATGGTTACAGAAAAAGATGATTATCTACTAAAAAAGAGGTCACATTAGAATTTAAAATTGTCTCCTATGTGGTTTTTTAAAAAAATTGATGCATTTATGATCACTCATGAGTCATGATTTTACTAAAAGCATCTATGATAGTTGTCTATTTCAAGAGGAATGACGACGGGTCAAACTTTTGTTTTACTTGCATATATTAATGGTATATTAGTAGCTACTACAAATAAGAAATAAATTAAGAAAGAGTTGGGAGCTACAAAGAAAATACATAGCATGGAGATTTATAGAGATAAACAAACAGATAAATTATTTCCAAGTCAAAAATGATACATTAAGGAAGTTCTACATAATTAAAATATGCAGAATGTCAAATATATTAGTACCTTATTAACCACATGTTTCAGAATTTCATCAGCTTTATATAAATACTCAAATGAAGAGATTGGGTATATGCCTAAAGTTTTATATTCTTGTGGAATGAGATTTCTTATATATAATATAGTATGTTCTTGTCCAAACTTATCATATGCAATCAATGCAGTTAGCAAGTACATGTGTAATCTGGGTAAGGAGTATTGAAAAGCAGATCAGTGGACTCTCAAGTATTTTTGTGAAACAAAAGATGTCTGTTCTCACTTTGAAAGGACTACAGATAGAATTATCGGCAATGTTAATTTAGACTTTATTGGAGATCTTAATAAGAGAGCACTTACTAGATGTGTTTATCGTTGGCGTTGTATGATTAACTGAAATGTTTCTTTACATAACATAATGGTATTGTCTACAGCTAAAATTGAGTATGTGATAATTATTGAAGCTTGTACAGATGTTTTTTTTTCCAAAAGTTATTTAGAAAGTATAGTGATAACTTGAAGACTACAAAAGTGATATGTGATAGTTAAAATGTTATTTGTCTCACTAATAATAAGATGTTTTATGAGAGAACTAAGCAAATTAATATCTATTATCACTTCATTCATGAAGTTATTACTCGTAGTGATACTATTATGAACAAGAGTAGTATACATGATACTCATGTTAATATAATGGCTAAAGCACTTCCAATTATTAAGTTTGAATATTGTTTATACTTGGAATTCATTGTTGTTCTATCAATTTATTTATGAAAGAGGTGGAAAATGTTTCATTAAAATTTAAAATTTTACTGCATTTTTTTTTAGCATTCGTGTCAAGGTGGAGATTGCTAAATCTAGGATTCAAATTTTGTGGGTCTCGCTTGCCTCATAAAGAATTATGAGCATGTGGATTGAAAGCCTCTACCAATAGATTAATATTATAATATCATTTAAATTGTAATCCATGTGCTCTTACTTTATTAGACTCTCTTGAGTATTTTTCTTATAAAAATCCTTCCAGAATTCTATAAATATTTCATTTATTTTATATAAGAACTAACTGATTTCTTTAGTTTAGTCTTATGTGAGCCGACCTTCTCCACTTAAAATTCTCCTCATCTACTTGTAATTTATTTGTGTCTTTATTCATCGCATTGGTTTTATTACATACCAAGCCAAAGAGAGTTTAACAACACAAAAATGTGTGAAATAAACAGTGTTCACATGCATGTTTTGAACCAATTTCAAATAATGACATTCTATGGCAGTACTAAATTTAAATGAAAAATCAAATCCACATTCAAAATGATCTATCAGCATAAGCATCAGGAAACCCATTCACTTGCAAGAGAAAAAATTTGAAGTTAAAATTTCCAACCTTTCCCTTTGCAACTCCCTCTTTGGCTAATGATGCTAGCTCCTGTAGGTATTTGTCAGGATCACCACTCTTTTCAAATTCCTTAGAGTACCAAACCCAAACAGCAAACATCAACACCAACATTTATCTAAGAGAAGCAGATTATAAACTTAATGAACATAAAATGGCCTACCTCGCATCTCGTGGGATGCACACCCACAGTGGAGAAAAGCCTTCCTGTACATGACAAGTAAAACTAAAAGCAGCGCAATTCTTAGTGTTGGCATAACATCAAACAGTTGGAAGGCATCCAACGTACCGTCAGATTCAGCTATTCGAAGCGCCTCACGCGATTCCTCCAGCGTTGTTCCCGTCACCTTTCATCAATCCCAAACAAACCCTAAGCTATTCAGTTGTAATGAAGAAGAATAAGTACAGTAGAGCACATTATAAGGAAGAACAGGGAAAAAGCTAACGATGATCCGGTCAACGCCGGCGTTCCATGCCCGGGAAAGCACAGCTTCGATGTCGCTGACGTGGTATTGCTTCCTGTTGTAAATCCCCCTGAACATCCCATCTACAAATTTCTAATTGCAATTACGACAAACACTTGATAATTCTCCTCTGCTACTATATGAATCGAGATGGATCTCACCTGTGAGGTTCACAGCAATGTCTGAACAACCGCGATTGGATCAAAAACAAGAGAAAGATCAGCAAAGAAGAAAAAAGTTCGAGCCTTTGGAGGAGAGTAATTTGGAGGATACTTGCCGATCATTCTGATGGTCGCCATCGCCGGAGCCGAGCAATGAAGCAGTGAAGTGGGAATATTTTGCACCAAAAGAAATATAGTTGTCTGAATGGTCCTCGGCTCTACGTTCCGAAAGCAGAGCTACGTTGGTATTACGTTGGTATTGGGCTGCGTTATTTCCAAAAAAATTAGATATTTCCCCGCGTTTTTTATTATTTGTGATTGTGTTATTCCCAATTATTTCAATTTTTACTGTCTTATTAAAATAACACAATTTCAAATTAAATAATCGTGTATGAATATTTCAATAATATTTTAGTCCCAAATTAAATAACACGGAGAAATATTTTAATTACAAAATAATCAAGTAATATCACATAATACTCGAATAATATTTTAATTTTTACAAATATCACAAATAAAATATTCTTGTAATACAACGAGATATTTTTAACTATTGCAATCCGAATATACCTTATTAATCGTTGCTCCAGCTTTCTCACAAAATAAATTTGGGGTTTTTACATTCTTAGCACTCCAAATCTCTCTATTTACATATTACACACTCAAAAATTTTATTTTACAAACAAAACAGTCAAAACGTTTCGACTACCCTTCTTCCGTTACGGCATACCCTCAACAAACTTTCATGCGCTCAGCGTTGCCATACACATTGCTGCAAATAGATATATACATCTCTAACCTGAGAGCAGCTGTTAATATAATCAGCAAAATCTAGCCTTATCAATCCACAATTCTAGCAATCCTTTGCAAGATTCTCCTTGTCTTCCTTATCTTCCAATTGCAGGATGCATATTTGAGGAAAAAAAACAGAACCTGAGGTTGCAGGCTTTATGCTCCTTTTAAAACTGCAGACTCCCTTATTGTTCCAAATGGGATTGACTGAACCTAACAGCTCGAGCCATTTGAAAAACGAAATCTAGTAGAAAGATGAGAAGTTGCGGTGATTAGATGTTTATGAGGTCGAGATCCTGCTAAAGTGGATTAGAGAAAGGAAGCTTTGCGGACTGGAGAAGAGGAGTTCGCTGGCAGTGGAGAAGAGGAATCGGATTGGAGAATGGGAAGCTTTGCGGACTGGGGAGGAGTTTGTTGGCATCGGATGAAAATGTAAGTAAAGACGTTTGCCCGGCCCGACCCGATCTTCGACTATCCCGCCTTTTCCGACAATCAAGCCTTTTAAGAAAAACTTTTAGGCTGGCTGGAGCTGGTGTGAGAAGCTTCTATCTTCGTTCCTTACTCTCCTATAGCTTCGGTTAGAGATGGATTTCTCTCTCAATCAAGAAAGGGCTATCATGGATTACGAGAATAATGACAATGCGTTTGGGATGATGGTGAGCTTAGCTTTGCTCGAAATGTTATGGTATCGTTTGTTGTGTTTTCGAATTATTTTTAAAATTATTTTATAGTTATTTTGGGTTATTTTTTGTCGGGTTATTTTCTTATTATTTTATGATTATTTTGGGTTAAGTTTCAGGTTATCTTTCAGTTATGCTAAAAACCCAATAATAACCAATAATAACCCCAAAAAATTCGAAAATAGCTTTAGGCTAACCCTACATATCCCAGAATAACCCAGTATAACTCTAGAATAACACACTAATAAACTTGAAAACAAATAAAAACTCTTACATAACTAGAGAATAACCCAACAATTACCCCTAAATAACTCCTAAAAAACTTTGATATTAATCTGAAATTAACACCTACATATCCTTAAAACAACCCAGCAATAACCACAGAATAACTCTAAATAAACCCTAATGCCCAACAATAACCCCTAAATAACCACCAAATATTATTGTTGCTCTATAATGGTGTTATCCCGGTGTTATTGTGGTGTTAATTGGGTGCTAAAATTTGTTATCAATCATTTGATATTTCGGTGTTTATGGTGTGGTGTTATCTGCATATCTAACCATCATTATGAAATAATGCAAATTTGTATTTCTCTATGCCTGGAAATGTTTGCAATAATCCAGTTGTTGATAGTTTTCTTAATATCATTGTCCACAATGAGCAAGAAACTTATGAACACTATTGTGTCTATCCACATCATGTTGGATTCACTGTCTGCAAAGACCACAACAATTAAAGGCCTAACTCGAAGCAAGTTAAGACAATGGATAATATTTGTGGAAAAGCTGGTCATAAGAAAGAGTCGCAATTCACCAATACGGTGAAGTACAAAAAAGTAAAGACAATGACTGATTGTAAAGCCATGATTTATTGTACAATGTCAGAACCACCCCTTGGTAGAAGCCAGTGATAAGCATCTTCTGTGTTCTAGTAGGAAGATTAGCAAATTAAATATTAATTTATTGAGATCAATGACAGGATCAGAGATTAGAGCAGCAGACGCATTCAACTTCCTTGCTGCAGAGGTTAGGGGAGTAGAAAATATAGAATGTACGAAGCAATATGCCTACAATTTTATTCAAAGAGAAAAAAAATAGAATTGAACAAGGTGATGTCAATTCTCGGTTACAAATGTTCATGGAGAGGCAAACTGAGGACAACATGTTTGCGTAGGACTTCTAAAATGATGAGGATGGTAGACTGACAAGTTTTTTGTGGAGTGATGGGTCCTTCATGCTTGATTACGTCTGTTGTGAAGATGTAATTTTTTATACTAGCTACTGATTTAATAAGTATAATTTTTGCTGTGTTATTTTTGTAGGGGTTAACCACCAAAGACAAAATGTTCTCTTCTGAGTTGGTTTCTTATCCGATGAGACGGTTGATTCTTTCAGGTGGTTATTCAAATCATTCATTCAAATAATGAATGACAAGCATCCATTCACAATTTTTACAGATAGAAATCAAGTGATGACAAGAGCTATTGAAGATTATCTTCCATGCACAAATGCATAAATTATGTCAGTGGCATATCTATAAGAGATTTTCTCCCGGCCCCAATTATAGAACGCCGCGTATAATCACCAAAAAAATAAAATGTATTTTTCTGAGTGCCCCAAGCCTTCAAAAAACACATTTTTGTCATTTTCTTTTCCGCCAGCATTTTTGAATCCCACAAAGTCCTTCGAAAAATGCATAAATATTATAATACATGCAGCAAAAATTAAATATTACAAAGTATAATAAATTAAACTTTTTTAAATAAAATTCATCATATTTAAAAAAAATTAAATCATATAAATTATAATATATAACAAAATAATAATAATAATAATATATTAATATTAGTCTATTACTTATATAAACAAATATATTACATACATACAACCCAAATTTATTCGCCTGACCCGACCCGAACCAGGCTAATGCATCGATTAAAAAAATATTATTTATGGCAGCCGTGTTATTTGCGTGTTTTCGGCGGCAGTAATACTATAATAACATCGCAAATACCTCAAATTTACTCCAATAACACCGTCTCCGACAACACACTAATAATACTATGACTTACCTCAAATAACACCCCAATAACACCACAATAATACATCAATAACATCTCAATAATACAAATAAACTTGAATAACACCCCGCCCAAATATGCCACCAACACCGCGGGTTACTTCAAACAACACATGAATAACACTTCAATAGCACCTTGGGTTACCTCAAGCAACACCAGAATAATACTCGAATAACACTGAAATAACGTCACAATAATATAGTAATAACAATGCAACAAGACACTAAGTTTATTCGAATAACACAACCGCTAAAATTAAATGTTATACAATATAATTAATTCAAACTTTTTAAATCATATTTAAAAAAACTAAATCCTATAAAATATAATAAATAACAAATTATTAATAATAATAAAATTATGATATTTTAAAAAATTAAATCCTATAAATTATAATGTATAACAAATTATTAATAGTAATATACTGCTATTAGTCTATTATTTATATAAATAAATATATTACATACATACCATAGGATGTTATTGCGTTGTTATCATAAGATGCTTCTATTGGGCCACATATAATCACCATATCTCATGTTTGCTCATTTAGTTGATGTGAATTTTAAATAGTTATTATGTTGATGCGGGAAAAAAATTAACAGAATAATTACTTTCATTTACCAGTTGTGCAATTAAAAAAAATGTTCTTATAAGTTTTATGATAACATGTTATTAATTGTTTGCTTTTTTCCTCTAAAAATTACATTAATTTTATGTATTTTTATTCAAACTATTGATGTGGATTTGTGGTGATGTGACCTCCCATCCATGACTGTTCGAACGAATGTTTGGGATCATTTATATTTTTTGTTTATTTAATTTATTTTATTTATATTTTGATTTAAATTAAAAAAATGAAAAATAATAGTTACTACTTTTAAAACACCTAAAATATGTAAATACTGACCCATTGTTAAAAAAAAAAAAATAAGGTTTGAAAAAGTGTCGTTTGGCATTTCCATTTGCTTGACTCTTCGTTCTCCTTTTCCCATCGGTTAGGGTTTTCACCTTCTGTCACTTAGGTAAAAAGGGTTTCGCACTTTTGTTATTTGGTCAAGATAAGAACACCACATCCACTCTACACCATGTAAGTTAATTAAATGAGCTTGAAGAAATAAGGAATGAATCTTATGAGAGTGCCAAGATTTATGAAGAACAAATGAAGATGTGGCATGATCGAAGGATTCTTACTAAAAATTTTGAGCCAAGGCAACAAGTTTTGCTATATAATGCAATGTTAAGATTATTTCTAGGAAAAATCAAGTCAAGGTGGATGAGCCCATTTGTTGTGATAAAAGTTTATCCCTATGAAGCTCTGAATATCAAAGACCCTAAGAATGAGAAAATATTCAAAGTGAATGGTCACCGACTGAAACCCTATTTTATAGGGGATCAACTTAAATTAAATGATCTTATGTTGTTGGGTTAACCAAAATAAGCACTGGTTATGTCGGGCTGACGCGTTAAACCAAACGCTTTGTGAGAGACAACTCACAGTTATCAGTGTATTTCTGTTTTAAATATTATGTTGTTATGTTTGATTAAGAAACTTGTGGTAGTATTTTGAATATATAATGATTTAGTGATGATTCTAAGACCTTAATAGAAGACTTAGACTTGTTAGAATGAGTATTTGGACGTTAAGCAGGTCTATACTAAATTAAGCACCGACGCTTAAGCGCCACCATTCGGTGCTTAAGCG